TCATTAACTTAAACCTCGGTCACTAACTTAAACCTCGGTCATTAACTTAAACCTCGGTCAACCATCAGTGGTTTTTGTGTGTTTCATACATGATGTCATTTCCTCAGGGAACATCTTCTGCTCTGTTGTTGTCGACCTCTGCTGACTGTGACCACACCCCCATGACTCAGGGGGTCAAAGTATTGAAAACATCTGTTCTGTTCCAGCTGTTTCAGGTGGTCCTCCTCCTCTTGGCTCCAGCGTTGATCAGCTGCTATCGCAGCCTTTATCCGACGGACTGCAGCCAGATCGAAAGAGAAGAAGGCGATGATGACTGCAAGAGCGGCCGCTACAGGATCTACCCTGCAGGAGAGAACTCGGGAGTGGCGGTGCGTTCACTTGTGTTTTTATTATTGGACAGAAACATGTTCACCTCTCAAGTGTAGAATCATTAAAGCAACATGTCACTGATACTGATCAACAGTGCCCCCTGCAGCCACATGAGGGGATTGATGCTGTTCAGAGTTCTTCATGTTTGAAAGTTTCTGCTGAACGTTGGAGATAAACTCTGGTTGTTAAGAACTGATCTCAGTTCAGCTTCACTCTTCCACTGGAGCTGACGGAGACTCTCAGTCACTTGTTCTCTCAGGAGATGAACCCACTCAGCAGAGAGAGAGAACAGACGCTCAGGGAGCGAACGAGGAAACGTTCTCCACCTTCACACATCAGACTCACTTTGATCAAACTGAGGGTTAAAAATTGAAAATTGTCATATTGTTGATTAAATATCTGTTATAAAGAGGAGGACCGAGGATTGAGCCTTGTGGGACACCTTTATTAAACTTCAGGGCACTTTGAACCTCTAGAATCGACTGCTCAGTTATTCCAGTTTCAGGTAAAAACGTTTCAGTAAAGCAGATCTATTCTTGCCATGATCAGCAGTATCAGATGAATCTCTGTGCCTCTATTGGTCAGCGTCACCTAACGTGTTGAAGCCTCATTGGTACAGACGAAACATTTGAATCGATCATATCTGCTGATGTGTTGCAGGTGTTCTGTGAGATGAGCCGAAACCAGGCAGCATGGACAGTGAGTCATTTTACTGGCTTTCATCAAGTCAATAAGGCGTCAAATAAATCAGACTCATATTCCACTGTTTACCTGCTCAGGTGTTTCAGACCAGGAGTAACGGACTCGTCAACTTCTTCAGGCCCTGGAATCATTACAAGCTCGGTTTTGGTCTCCCTATGGGAGAACACTGGCTCGGTGAGAAGTGGAACCACAGGAACAACTGAGAACCTCGCTGTTAATACACAACCCACGTTCAACTCTGTGTGTGTGTGTGTGTGTGTGTGTGTGTGTGTGTGTGTGTGTGTGTGTGTGGTCACAGGTCTGGACAACCTTCACTATCTGACCTCAGGACCCACACAGTTTGAGTTACAGGTGGACATAGAGGACTTTGAGGGAAATACAGCGTTTGCTCATTACAGCTCGTTCTCCGTGGACTCTGAGTGTAACGGATACAGACTTTCAGTGTCAGGATTCACAAATGGACCAGCAGGTAAGTGTGTGTGTGTGTGTGTGTGTGTGTGTGTGTGTGTGTGTGAGAGAGACATTTATCATTGATCTTTCATTCTGGAAAATAAAAATGTTTTTCAGTTTTTGTTCTTTTGTTGAGGCAATAGAGAGCTGGCATCGAACCGACAGATAGACAGACAGAGAGACAAATAGAGACAGACAGACACTGTCACTAACTGTGTCTTCTCTGTGTCTTCTCTGTGTCTTCTCTGTGTCTTCTCTGTGTCTTCTCTGTCTCTGTAGGAGACGCCCTGGCGTATTCAAACGGCATGAACTTCACCACCTTTGACAGAGACCAGGACTACTGGTATGATAACTGTGCCAAAAGGTACCTGGGAGCGTTCTGGTACAGAGACTGTCACCAAGCAAACCCTAACGGGGTTTATCTCTGGGGGCAGGACGGCATGCCCACTTCTACTGGAGTTACATGGTACCCTTGGAAATTATCCCATGATTACTCTCTGAAGAGCATCGTCATGAAGATCCGTCCAGTGCAAGTTTACTAACTCTCCAGGAGCAGCAGAAGACCAGATGTTGACCTGTCTCAACATCTGTCCCTTTCATCAGTCAAAGTCAAATTAAATCAAATGTTTGAACCCTGATGTCAATCATCACCTGCTGCATGTCCACAATAAACGAGATGCAAAAAAATCTGATGTGACCTGATGTCTTTATTTGTCTCACGTGTCTCATATGTCTCCTGTGTCTCCATACACTCCATGATCCGTCCTGCACAGACTGTGAGTGTAAATGMCATCAGTATCAGTCACTGCTCGTCTTTACTAAAGGTAGAAATTGTAAACAAGACAGACAAGCTTCTGTTTCTTCAGATTCTTTATTTCAGGAAGATTCTAAATCGTGAAATGTTTCATGAGTTTCCTTTCATATGAAAACTGTCTTCACGGATTCTCACTGATTCAAATTCACATGTTTCTGTTTCCAAGTCAATTACTGATCAAAACAAAGGTAGAATAAGTTTGTACAAAGTGTGTGGGTCTGTCTTCTTCTTCTACCTGGTATAAAAATAAGATCTAAGTGCTTCGGCACTTTAATACTGTCTCTGCTTCAGCGTGTTCACAGCTCAGGTGTCAGCGCACGTCATCACGTGCACAACTCTCCAGAAACATTTCAACAAATAAACAAGAAGTCAAATCATCAGCTGCTGCTTTTAACGCTGCATTCATTTGTATCATAAAACACCGGGCCATACTCAGAGTCACCACTAGAGGGGGCAGCTTTCTATCGTTAATTCTAATGCTGCTAATTCTAATGTTGCTAATTCTACATATTTTCAAATCAAAATCTGTAAATGTTTTCAGATGACGACTTTTATTGGTGGTTCATTCTGAGTTCCTGCATCTGGTTTGTTTCCAACATTAAAAGAGTTTCTTGTCGTTGTGTTGTTGGAGAGGAGACGTTTTAAAACTTTGATTTGTAATTTGAAAAATAAAAAAATGTTGATTTATCGATTAAAGCAAATGCCGCTCTGACATCACGGTTACGATGTCAAGTAAAATGAGCTTTCTTCTATTTATTAAAAATAAGAAAAAGAGAAAATGATCTCAGAGAACTTGTCTCATAGTTTAAGGATGAATGTCTCTGATGTCATGTTCATGAGACCAAAACATCTCAGCGACCACAAATGTGTCTCCATGTTAAAATCCCAGGCTGTCGGAGCATCAGTTGCATCTTCACAGACAAACCAAACTTTTAATTTCATAGAATTTTGAAAGATTTAAAATCTGATGATCCTTAAACCAGTGAAATGATCTGACGACCACAAGAGAGACGGTTAAAAGATGTAAAGATAACAGGAGGCAGGCTAATAGAAAAAGATCAAACAAAAGAAAAACAAAACCTGCAGCCAATCAGAGGCCGTCTCTTATCAAAATCACGTCAGATACGAACCAACATGATTCAGGTCAAATCAAAGAGGAATGGCAGAAATAGAAAGTAAAGAGCATGAGAAATGTCACATGTGAGAAATTGATTTCACTGACGAGTCCGACACATTTTCAGCAGCGGTTTTCAAAATGTTGTTCTATCCTGTTGGATAGAAGGTGCATCACACTGTCCTGCTTTTGCTGTCGATGTGTGACCACTGATGTTTGATTTAGTTTAGTCAGATAAACGTTGTTGGCAGATTTAAAATGTGAACCTGTTTAAAAAACAGGATAGTGTGAACGCAGCCTTGGCTACGTGTGTTTTGACTCTTTGGAAACCGCAACTCTAAAAAACGCCATATCCGTCGGTGTGGCGTGTTGCGACAGCGAAGGCGGGGTAGCCTTCGTAGGTGGTGTAGGCCGTTAGGTCCTGACCCAGAGATACCGCCTGCTTCAGCTGGGAGGCGACTGCAGACGACGCCGGACTCGCCAGAGTGTAGCCTGAAAGAGACGAAACCAAAACTCACAACATCTAAAATAAAATGTCCAACCTGAAAAACACATGGGGGAACTTTTCACTCTGTCAATAACTTTAAAATGATTCATCTTCATGCTCTATTATACTATGCTATACTTCATACTATACTATACAGTATGCTGTTACACAATATACGATGTGATACTAGTGACAACAGTGACATGAGGTGAAACACTACGATGTCTCACTCGGTTTGATTTGCTGAAGTTGCAGAAACTGTTCACTCGTGGTTGTACACACACTGGTGGGTCCTCTGTCTCACGCTATCTCTGATGTGGTCAGTCTTTGAGGAGTAAAGCGTTTTTGTTGGTTTGCGTACAGACCTTCACATACCTGGGAAGGCTACTGAGGCCACAGCAGCAGCAGTAGCACAGCTATTGTCAGCGGCGCCCTCTGTCTGCAGACCGAGAGTCTGAAGGGTGTGCTCAGCTGCATGGACTTTAGCCTCTTCTACAGCAGCACACAGTTTAGCAGGGGTGAAGGGATGACTGCAGAAGGACAGAGATAGTAAAGTTACTACGAGTGCATGTAGCAGAGTAGGAACTGCAGTAACAGTAAGACTAGTTTTTGTACACGTTGGGATACTGTGTAGCCAGAGCTGGGACAGTGATCTTGTAGAGGAACAGTTGTCTCTGGTCTGGACCAATGGCAGAGTGGAGCTGATACACTGGTTGTCCCCAGTTGTTCTTCTGACACAGCTCCTCCAGAACCTGGAGACACCAACAACACCACATGTTCTGCTTCCACTAAAATCACTGTGAAGTGAGTCATCACACCAAACACAGGATCTTTGTTCTGACGCCAGGACTGTGTTTAAACCACAGACTAAATAAAGATGGACGACATGAGAGCTCCTTTCAGCCAAATCATCTGAACGCCCCTGGTGTCTGGCTGCAGTATGGCTCATAAACTTCCTCATCCATGTTAGCAGATGGGACATAGACCAAGATAAAACTCAAAGTAGACGTCAAATAAATGTTTGTCAAAGATGTTTCTGTCATTTCAGCTCGTTCTCATCTCACTGATGTTCAAGTGATTCTCATCAGTTTGGTTTGAATCAGTTATCTGATGATAAAAACAGGCGGAGACGTCATGATTGACAGCTGACACTGAGTCAAGATGGCAGCGTTTGAGATACTTTACTTCTTTAGAGGAAGTGAAGACATGTGGTCGTCTTTATTCACAGTTATTGATCGTCTGTATAGTTATAAATATATAGTTACTTCTGGGGTGTCTCGTTACCTGTGGTGCAGGTTTTGCTGCCTTCAGGCTCATGGGGGTCAGCTCCATGCCGGGCAGCAGATCGTACAGCTTCTCTTCTGTCTGCTTGTCCGTCTTCAGCCCATAGGAGGCGCTGCCAGCGCCAGCGCCACCTCGGCCCATGGCTCCTCCCCCGGCAGCGTAGGCCAAGTAGCCCCGCCCACCCAGCCCCCGCACCCCCGCAGCCCCTACAGGTACAGTCATGTAAATTTCTACAGGAGACCGAAAAGGCAGTGAAATCAATCAAATCACCGGAAATCAACCCGGAAAGAAGAATCACACTTTCAGACAATGATTCAGGCAGAGAGGACAGGTACAGTGGTCGCCATGGTAACACAGCTCCACCTCACTACCCAGAGCTCACACCAAGGTGGTAGTCATGGTAACCATATGATTCATTTTCAAGTTACATTCATTCAATTCTTTTTGGTCGTAATCATTTCTGATTCAGTCGATCATATTTGATTCCTGGAAATATTTTTTTTTTTTTGAGTTTCAAGATCATGAAAATCATCTCAATTGAGTCTTTATATACAGTCAGTGTCTTTATATACAGTCAGTGATCGTCTTTATATACAGTCAGTGTCTTTATATACAGTCAGTGATCGT